GGCTCTAGTTTTAAAACTGAGCTGTCATGATTCACAAACCTGTGTCCTTGATGCATTCCACAGCAGCACTAACATTCACGGAAACTGTATCTCAAAGCAAACAAGCTTTTATCTAAAATTGTTCTCGAGCAGATTTATAACAGTAAATATTAGACAATCACAAAAATATACTCCCAGTTCAGTGTTTTGGTAATGAGACCCTTATGCGGTGTTAGTATTAACAGTGTAAAATTCACACCAGTGTTAACGAAGGTTTTATTTTTACTCACATGCTAAGTGGTTTTTTTTAGGTTTGATCTCATTTGCTTTTGGCATCTGTGCTATGCAGGCATACCTTGGAGATATTGTGGGTTTGGTTCCAGACCACTGCAATAAAGCAAATCTCTCAGTAGAGCAAGTCACAGAAATTTTTTGGTTTCCCAGTACACCCAGAAGTTATGTTTACACTGTAGTGTAGTCTATTGAGTATATAACAGCATTATGTCTAAAAAAACAATGTACATACCTTAAAAAATACTTTGTGGCTAAAAATGCTAACCATCATCTGACAATGCAGGGTTGCCACAAACCTTCGTTTAAAAAAAAAAAAAAAAGCACTATTTGTGAAGCACAATAAAACAATGTGTATACCCTTACATATTTTCCTCAATACAATTTCATGAACATGATGACATGGACAGTTTGCGGTACGCGGACCTCTCACTGTTGTGGCCTCTCCTGTTGCAGAGCACAGGCTCCGGATGCGCAGGCTCAGCAGCCATGGCTCACGGGCCCAGCCGCTCTGCGGCATGTGGGATCTTCCTGGAACGGGGCACGAACCCGTGTCCCCTGCATCAGCAGGCGGACTCTCAACCACTGCACCACCAGGGAAGCCCTAGAGCTGTAACTTTTGACAACATGGATGGACTGAGAGCTTGTCATATTAAGTGAAGTCAGACAGAGAAAGACAAATATATCACTTCTATGTAGAATCTAAAAAACAAATGATACAAATGAACTTATTTACGAAACAGAAACAGAAACAGACGCACAGACAGAGAAAACAAACTTACAGTTACCAAAGGGGAAAGGGTGGGGGGAGGGATAATTCAGGAGTTTGAGATTAACATATACACACTATATATAAAATAGATAAACAACAAGAACCTACTGTAATGTAATATTACGCAGCCATAAAAAGAAATGAAATTGAGTTATTTGTAGTGAGGTGGATGGACCTAGAGTCTGTCATCCAGAGTGAAGTCAGAAAGAGAAAAATAAATACTGTACACTAACACATATATATGGAATCTAAAAAAAATTAAAAATAGGTTATGAAGAACCTAGGGGCAGGACAGGAATAAAGACATAGATATAGAGAATGGACTTGAGGACACAGGGAGGGGGAAGGGTAAGCTGGGACGAAGTGAGAGAGTACATGGACTTATACACTACCAAATGTAAAACAGATAGCTAATGGGAAGCAGCCACATAGCACAGGGAGATCAGCTCGGTGCTTTGTGACCACCTAGAGGGGTGGGATAGGGAGGGTGGGAGGGAGACGCAAGAGGGAGGAGATATGGGGATATATGTATATGTACAGCTGATTCACTTTGTTATAAAGCAGAAACTAACACACCGCTGTAAAGCAATTACACTCCAATAAAGATGTTAAAAAAAAAAAGAACCTACTGTATAGCACAGGGAACTATATTCAAAATCTTATAATAACCTATAATGGAAAAGAATCTGAAAAAGATTTTATATATATAAAATACATAAATATATAAAAAGATTTATATATATTTATATATACACACACATATATCTATATCTGAGTCACTTTGCTGTTCACCTGAAACACAACATTGCAAATCAACTATACTTCAATTAAAAAAAGAGAGCGAGAGCGAGCTGTAACTTCTGAGATGATTAGGGAACTCTATATTTGATAACTAAATTTATAACAATTTCAGTAATGAAGGCTCTCTAAATATTCTGTCAGCTCTAAATGGAATGATTCTATGGCTTTATTTGAGGCTTCCAGTTGGTGCTGGGATTTTCGTCATGCAGGATATATGCTTAGTATATCAGAATTCTATTCAATATTCTGACATTGACCTTAAGAGAAGCTAAAAAGAGAATTATAAAATACACATCATCGAATTCATTTCCTTTATCCAGAAGAAGCTGTAACCTTTGTCCACAAATAAAACAATTCTAGTTTAAAAAAGAAAAATTCCTACCAACGGAATTCCTACCATTTTTATTCAGGCACACTCAAAGCTTGAGACATCCTCCACTCCAAACCTTCAAGTTATAGCTACTAAGTAATATTAGATTATTGTGGTCATATAGAATATTTAGATTACTCCAATCCAGCTATTGATAACATGGTGAGTTCTCCATCACCCTGCAGGTGCAGGGCTGAATGAGAAAGGAGATAAATTGGAAAGGAGATACTGAATTGATTCGAATATTGAGTTTCTAAACTCTATTTTAAAAAGGCCAAGGAATAGTTTGAAACACATCAGACTTACCAGATGTCTTCCAACAATGAGGCTTTTAGAGAAACATCACAGGTGATCATTTCATCTCAATCCCTAGAGTAGAGATCTAGGGATCATGGAAATAGTTTAAGCATGGAAAATACTTAAAAATTGAGCCTGGTCAAACAGATGTGTACATCAGTGTGTAAAAGCGATAAAATAATGTGATAGCAAACATCTGAACAGTACTATGAAAGGCACTATGCTATGTGCCTTACATACATCATCTCATTACACACCCTATAAGATGAGTGCCACCGTCACTCCATTTTATAAATGAGGAACTGAGTCTCATTAAGTTACGTGTCTAGTCCAAGTATACACAGTTAATTAATAGGGAGCCTGGATTTAAACTCAGGCAGTCTAACTCTAGATCCAGTACTTTTAACTGTTAGCCAAAATGAAATACCTTAGAACCTAGAATCCAATGCACGCCAAAAGCTTACATCAAACATGTCTACAGCAAAGGATATATTATATAACACTAAATGTTCCTTAAAATCATGAAGTTTCCTCAATTACTTTAAGATATTAAGATGCCTAGATGAGTCATGTGTATTTCTCTAACTTCATCTGATGATTCAAACTATGATAAACTTAACTACTACTATTGGATATTCTGAACTTAAAAGATTTAAAAAAAAGAAGAAGATAAAAAGAAAGGACATGAAGAGAGATATGTCACTCCTATTTTTGATCAGTATGCCATCAGATTAAAATTAAATGACTACTGAAGTTCATACTAAAACGAAATAATGGTTATATACTAGAATGTATGCTATAAAAGTTACACAGCAAGATGAAAACAGTACAAGTTTTATAAACCAAAACAACCCCAGAAAGTTTTACATAACTGAAAAAGACAAAGGAGTAAGTAGAGAAAACTCAATTAAGAGGGACCTCTTTATTACATATTTATAAAATAATAGTATAATATAGTTATTAAAAATGGAGATGAAATATTTTATTTTTGGTATCTTATGTTTTGCATTCAATTTTTCAATCATCTTCACAATTTTTCAAAACTTGAACCTCTACCCCACCCACCATTCAAAGAACAAATGAAGAACAAACTATCCAATGGGTTCTAGTGAGAGACTTAATATCAAAGAAATTAATCCAGTAGCTCATGAATTAAGATTGAGAATTTTCAAAGAAATACAATAAAAACAAAAATTCAGAAGGCACCTCAAGATCATATTGTGCCATTTTCCTCATGCTGTATGTTTAAGTGCCTATAACAGAATTCTGGTTAATGAAATTTTGGACAAAAAAAGTGTCATATTTTGTGCACATAGCATCAAATGACTACAGATACAATATGGGGATTCTGCTGTGCATATCTGTACTAAGTAGGGCATAATTTATAATATGTGAAGAAAAAAATTTAAATTACAAAATGGGTATTTTTAGCACATTTAGTAACAGCTAGTTGTTTTAAACTATCATTTCATTTTTGATGACCAAATTGTATGTGACCATAATTAAAGAACATATAATTTAAAAATAATACTAATAAACCATGGTTACAACAGAACTGTTACATTAAATGAAGAAAGGAAAGTCACATACATGTACTGAATGGCACTGAGGTTTTTCAAAGCCATTCTTTTGAAAGGCTTTCAGTCCACCTTCACATGTATCAGTTAAAAAAATGTCTCTACTCAGTGTGCTTGCAGAAGGAGATGAAGTCAGTTCTGATCACCCAAGTGGCTGACAAGCACTCAGTGCTGATCACTGAGCAAGTCTTTTATCTGACTACCCTGACAACCGTAACTGAGCCACATCTAAGTCTCTGATGCGGCAACTCCAACTATTCAACTGCAGAGAAACACCTCAGAAACACAAAAAAACACAACTGAAACAAGTGACAACTAGAAATGGCTGAATCACTGTACCTTTTAGACACAACCATTAACCTTAGTTTTGTGATATGCTATTTGGTACTTTTTGATTCAGTAGTTGGAGTAAAAAAAAGTTTCTGTATTCAAACCTATTTACAGAATGTCAATATAAAATGTGTGAATATATACATTTAATATACACACATGCACGCACGCGTGCATGCGTGCGCACGCACGCACACACACACACACACACACACAAACTCACATATCTAGAAACCAGCACTTAGCCACGTCCCCAATTCTCACTAATGACTCAGTAAATCATTTGTTACTTTAAGACCAGCTTAGATGTTATAAGGCTGCAACATATGGCTAAAGAGGTCAAACACAAGCACCCACACTCAGGCTAATTAAATTGTTCCTCCTCCTGATTTTCCACAAGTAGTAATACCATTTATATAACAACTATATCTCAATAACTTAGAATTCAGAGTATAAAACCAGTGTCATGAACATATAACTCCCTCACTGTTTAAAGAACACTCCTCCTTCTGTTCTATTTCCACTAATGGTAAGAGGGCACACCAAACTGGATCACATTGAACTGTACAAATTATCTTTACTCTCAATCTAAACAAACGTGAGTTAAAACATTCTGAAATGCTGCATCCTTTGATTTCTTCATCTTTTCAATTGCCCGATGCAGGTCCTGTTGTTGCACAGGTCGAATTTCATCTTCATAATGGCTAAAATGCAAAAAAAAAAAACCCACCAAATATTCAAATAATTTTAGAATACATCTCCCTAAAATATTTTACCAAGACTAAAAAATGAAGTCTCTTACCCATCCAAGACCCCAAAGACAACCACAATTTACAGCTTCACGTGAATTCTTCCAAGGAATTAATCTATGCATATAAATGTCTTAAGAGACTTTTAAAAAGCACTTACCAGCAAGAGGTAGGAAGCTAAAATGGCTGGCTATAAACATTATAGCTTGGTAACTAAAATCAAATACTTCACACTAAGAATATAAAGGTGTGAAAGTTGATCTAAATGGGATTATAATTCTAATCAAGGATTCAAAAGTTATTCCCATGAAAACTGGAATTAAAAAGTAGCAGTCTTATCATGCATGTGTTTAGCTTTTGATAAACTGAAAATAAAATTCATTCCTACTAATAAAAACCAACTACCCTAAGTCCTCCCCACTTCAATAAGGAGAAAAATATGATCCAATATATAATATCTCCTTTGTAACTTATGAACACTCAGGAAAAATAATTCAGGGAAAAAGTTATGATAACCTAAGTCCATTACCCAGACTTTTTGCATTGAAATATAACATTTTCAGGGCTTTAAGGACAGCAGAAAAACAGAATTTCCATTAAAATAATTTATTTAAGTAAAATTTATTCATAGGGTTTTTTTTTCTCCTCTTAACATATACAAGAATAAAAATCTTCAAAAGATAGATTCTTGGCTACAGAGGTCAAAAGTATTCCCAATTTTAGTGCTAGAGTAGCTGGATTAATCTGGCAACAAATAAATGGAGTGACTCCACGAAAGGGCCCAAGGGAAGACTAAAGATAGGTCCTGAACCAGTGCAGGCACAGCTCCAAGTTAACAGGGTAGCTTTCATGCAAACCTTTCTATACCAAGAGAAACCTTTTTTGGCAAAGCTTGCTAGGCAATACAATGTAATTAAACACATGAATAAGATAGGCAAATCCAGGTCACTTGGAATGAAAGCCTCAAGAGATGAAGAAGGGAGACTAAGAAACAATGGGGCAAGAGGTAGAGAATTCATTTGACACAAGCCCCCAAAGTACACTGGTTTGCTAAGAGTCACATTAGAAGGTTGATATTTTGAACAGGGGCTTAGAAACGCAGGGTTATACTGGTTCAGGGCAAGTGGCCTTATGGGAAACACAGGACTTTTGTTCATCAGAGCTGCATTATTCCATATTCCAGTTCACTAATACGGCTGGTACAAGATTGGTTTCTCAAGCTCAAGATACTTTGAAACTGGTTTCAAGTTTGCTGTAGTGACAAATGACTTCTTTTTTAGTAAATACATTATTAACAAGTTGAAGTCTAGTCCACAGCAACGTCCCCATAAATGTGAAATTTCTGGAAGACAAGGCACTCATTTCCCTAATGTAAAAATTTAAAATACAAAAGCAATCCAGGGATACCAGAGCAGCTGTTTTCCTGGTAGAGATGGGTAAGCTTAAGTTTGTCAGCTTTCTGTAACCCAGCTCATGGATTTCCAGTAGAAATTCAGCTTTTACTTCTTGCTCTTCATTTCAGATGCTTCCCCAAACCACCCTCCCTTGCAAATTCATTTCCAGAATTCTCCTTCAGAAAAAAGGCAATAAATAACGTTAGGGGAATTTTAAATTCCAATTTACCTTTTTATTCCATAAGCAGAGTTGGTATTATAAAGCAAAATAAAAGGAACTATCCCAAAAGCTCTAAAAGGGTTTGACAAATATTAAGAGATCAACTCTAAATACACATACCTTTCTTCTGATGTAGAATTAACATATTCCCTGACACAGAGGAGGGCAGCATCTCGACACATCTCCTTTAGGTCACTTCCTGAAAACCCATCAGTTTCCTGGGCAACTTCCAGCAGGTCCACATGCCTATCCACCTTAAACAAATATAGAACATGCTTTAAAAAAAATGTAAAATATACTGTAAAAGATATATCCAAACATTCTTAGAATTAAAGAAAGTTAAGCATATTGGAACAGCGTGGGAGGAGAATCAATAGATAGTATTTTCAGTCTCTAGAAGTTTTCTTCTTTTAACCATAAAAGCTTAAAATTTGAAATCTAATTTTCAGTAATTGTCATTATGACCAAAACATAAATAAGTCTTACTAGATATATCACAGAGTGATGGGGAAGAATAGGCATTCGAATATTGCTGGATTGACTTTGGTGCCTCTTAGGAAGGTCCCACTTTGACACTTCTTTATAATATAGTCAACATACTTGGCAAATAGCCTGGATCATTAAGTCCTGAGACCTGATTTTTGTAATATTATGATATTACAAAAATCATATTCTACTAAAATATTCTAACCCTCATTTTAACTGTACTGCTTTGATATTCTACTACCTCAACACTAATTCAGCACCTATGGTTTTGCTCCCCAACCTAAGCTTATACAGTCAAGCCAATTAAGTGATCCTCCTGGGCACATAACAGACTTGGGATAGTTAAAAGCTGATATGTAGCTTAAGAAGAGAAAATGAGAAAGAAAAAAATTAATTATAGTAACTACCATGTATTAAATGATTTTTAAATATCATTTGCTGTATTACGACTTTTCATGGAGTATTCTCATTTAATCCTGACAGGGAAGTATTCTCATTTTCGTTTACAGAAAATAGTAAAACCTGCAGAGGTTAAATAAATTGCCCAAGGTCACACCATTGCCAGAGCCAGGGTTTGAACACAATGCAGTAAAGATCCAGCTGTATTTTTTCCCCCATATAGCTAACCGTTGGTCTTAACATTTATTTTCCCCAAGTTGACTGGAAATGCCATCTTCATTTGTTACTAAATTCCCATTTGTCTTTATGGAAGACCCCAGTGTAACTCTACACAAGGACAAGAGACTTGGAGGTAAGACAACATGGGATCTACTGGTAACTCTGCAACTGTGACCTCACGTGACAGTGTTCTCAGTCCTAAATGTGGAGATTAAATAAAGAGAAATCACGTATTCTTTGATAAAAAGAAAACTGCACCCAGAAGGTAGGTGTGCAACAGGCAAGGAAAATGGTAAACCACATATAGATAAATCTAAGCTTTAATATATAAAAACAGTAATAATAATCATTTCATTTGGGGTAAAGAACTAAGTAGCACTAAAAGAGAATGTGTAACTTCCAAATGACTAGAGGAAGAGGGAAAAAGGAATGAAGAACACAAGAGCAACACTAAAGAACGAAGGACTGGTGGGGAGGTAGGGGAACTGGAGGGGGAAAGGGGAAGGTGTGGGCAGGGGGTGGGTGGGGGGAGTCCAGGGAGGAAAAAAAAGCATAATGCATGGAAAGCATTAAAATAAAAAAGAACAAATGCAAATTTATCAGTAATCGCCACAAACACAAACAGAAATCATTACATAATGATAAAAAATAATTCACCAGAAAAATATAACAAATGGACAAACCCGCAACAATACTGGGGATATAAGACGATAAGTTCCTAGGGCTAGTTATAGTTAGAATCTGTGATCTAATGTACAAACATAAAAGCTGACCAACTGATTACAGGCATTCTATGTAATCTGGATATTAGTCCTTTGCTGGTTATAGGGTTGCAAATGTTTTCCCTGTGATGTGTTCTTGCACTTTGTTCACTGTATCTTGTCATACTTCAAGAAGCCTTAAGTCTGATTACAGTCAGACGTTTCTATTCTCTTTGTAGTTTAAACTTTTTTGTGTGCCTCAGAAACTCACTTTCTCTACAGTTTGTAACAGTGAAAGAGAAAAAATAACCTACACCTGTACCTGTATTATGTATCTATCCACACACATTTATGGAACTGATACACACAACGAACTTCAGGATAGTGCTTAGAGTTCTCCACAGCAGGATACCAATGATGGTGTGGGGTGAGGGAGCGGGGGAGGGGTTGACATGAAGCAAAATATATTAAGGTCGGGCTTCCCTGGTGGCGCAGTGGTTGAGAGTCCGCCTGCCGATGCAGGGGACAAGGGTTCGTGCCCCGGTCCGGGAAGATCCCACATGCCGCGGAGCAGCTGGGCCCGTGAGCCATGGCCGCTAAGGCTGCGCGTCCGGAGCCTGTGCTCCGCAACGGAAGAGGCCACAACAGTGAGAGGCCCGCGTACCGCAAAAAAAAAACAGCTAAAGCTGAACTCTTGGCTGGCAGATTGTATAGTCATTCAAAATAGTCAATTCTCGCCTAATGTAAAGAAATCCAGTTTTACTGTACAGGAGACAATTTAGAGCTAACAATGTATGAGGTAAAAATGCCTGTATTAAAAAAAAAAAAAAAAAAATTAAAAACACCTTTTAAATCCAGGTGCTAGATTTAAAGTTATTTGTGTATATGTCTAAAATAAAAGACCTTCCAAATTATTCTCCGAGATGTTAAAAATTAGTCCCCCTCCCTCAAAAAATCAACGCCTCCACCCTATCCTTTGCCTTCTCCTTTGTTGGGCCACACTATGTTCTAACCACTCACAAATCTTGTGCATGACAGGGTGATAAAGTCACAAAGACGAACAAAACAAGTATAAGAAAAGAATACATAGAAAATTCCAGTCATTGAGGGAGAAAGATTAGTAAACAGAGATAGCATTCCATAATGGTTAAGAGAAAGGCCCATCACTACTTTGCTATGTAAACCTGGGTAACTCATTATATAACTTCTCTGGATTTCAGTATCCAGAGACGTGTAAAAGAGTACTAATATGTACTGCTTAGATGAATTAAGGATTAAATAAAATGATGTGTATCTTACCACAATGCTTGGCACACAGCAAGCACTCTAAAAGCAGCCCTTTTTATTTTAAGATAATGGCTCTAGATAAACCGTGAAGCAATGAGAATTATTTTTATTAGACAAGTATGAAGGCAATTCCCAAGTTAAAAAAAGGTTTTGAGTACGGGGAGCAAAATAGGAATAAATTAATGAACGTCCAAAATAGCTTGAAAGAATAGCACTTATTTGTGTGCGGTTATTCACTATATCTGCCATTGACTGTACACTGCATGATAATCAAAGCATTTTCCATATATTATTTAATCTAAATTCTCAAACCGACTCTATGAGATTGTTGGCATTATCTCTGATTTCCAAGTGAGAAAATGAGGCACAGAGATGCTAACAATATTTGCTCAAGGTCACACAGTAGGAAATGGTCAAGCCAGAATGGGATCCTCAGGTCTGTCTCCTAAACCCATGCTTGTTAACTATTCCTGCTTATTGCAGTGTCAGACATGATACTTGTATTCGATATAAATGTTATTAGTTCTAATTCTTTCATACTTAAAACGTTAAGCCCAAACCAGTATACTATCTTTTTTAAATGAGTGGGTTTTGTTAAGGATCTATCAATAAAGAATTGTGAAAGACTGAAAAACAGTATCATTTCAAAAGCTTCATTCTTTTCTTCAGAGAAGAAAAAACTCAAGTCTAGCCATCTGTTTGCATCAAGAACTCTAATTCTGCTCAGGAATGTATACGCATGATAATGCTCATCTTATTAAATAAATGTGTGTGCTACTGATTTGAGGCATCTTTTAACAAAATTACATTAATTTCTTTCATATTCCATTGAAGTAACAATATGCCTCCAGTATATAAATACCAGCTAGTAGGAAATGAGACATTCCCATGTCAGCAATTATCCAGAGAGCACTCATATTCTGCATCATAAACCTGATTAGACACTAATTCTTTGTACTTTCATAAATAAGAAACAGAATGCTAAAAATTGCCTGTACCAATGACAAATGTAATTCTAAAAGAATTTCCAAAGATACTACTGTTAAAAAAAGCAGAACACTAAAATCAAAGTTTAAATTAGGCATAATGAGTAGTGTCTTAAGTTTAAATGCTAAAATTTAATGGCCTGTGTAAAGTATGGCTATCATACGAGACAAAGAGCTTACATCTCATAATTTACATTCATCATCTATATATCAATGACCTATATCACCTATATTTACACTGGACCACATATATGGGGTTCAAAAATGTTAACTTCCAGCCACACTTCATTAAAAAATTTTTTAAATAACTGTATTAGTTAACCTGAAGTCTCTGCAAAATTGTTCACAACTACCTTGTAATGCCTGTTAAATTTCTAGCCACATCATAGCCATTCTAATTCAGAAGATCTTGTGAACTCATTTAATCCCCTTTGTTTTCTTCTCTGTTCATCAATGCCTATCCTTATCAAAGGTTGACCAATGGAGCCTGTTTTATCTAAACAGTACTACAACTACACAATGTCTTCTTGAAAGCAGTAAACAACTATTCAGTTAAAAGGCAAAATGTAATTTGTTGATTTCTCATTCATGGAGGACAGGAGTTCCTTACCCAGAATATATGAAAGGTTTTAGGAATTTCCCCGAAACTATACAAAACATTTCAAGTATATACGCAGTTTTTAAAGGAAAGATGACATAGCTTTATCTCTTTATTAAAGGGCTCTAGGATCCCCAAAATGGTTAGTAACCAATGATCTAATCTCTGTAATTTGTTAGACACTTTAAACTTTAGCAAATAGCGTATATGTTATTTTGATATATTGTAAAGAAATAAATGAACAGAACACCACTGAAAGATACAAGACTTGAACAACCAGAGAGACATAAATGCTTCTGGGGAGAAAGAGTCAACATCAAAAATATCTTAATTCTCTTAAATTATGATCCACCAAAAACACTAGTGTTTGTTTTTTTTCTTGAATAAGACAAATTAATTTAAAATTCATACAGAAAAAATAGCATACCAAGAAACTGTGGGCTGGGGGACAACAAGAGGTGTCTAACCCTACCTGATATTAAAACTTACAAGATGTTAATAATTAAGAGTGTGGTGGGGACTTCCTTGGTGGCGCAGTGGTTAAGAATCCACCTGCCAATGCAGGGGACACGGGTTTGTGTCCTGGTCCAGGAAGATCCCACATGCTGCAGAGCAACTAAGCCCGTGAGCCACAACTACTAAGCCTGCGCTCTAGAGCCCACGAGCCATGACTACTGAGTCCACATGCCACAACTACTGAAGCCTGAGCACCTAGAGCCCGTGCTCCACAACAAGAGAAGCCACTGCAAAGAGAAGCCTGCACACCGCAACGAAGAGTAGCCCCCACTCGCCGCAACGAAGACCAGCCCCCACTCGCCGCCACGAAGACCCAACACAGCCAAAAAAAGAAAAAAAAAAAAAGAGTGTGGTGCTGGTGAATAAACACAGAAAAGACCAATGACCTGAATTCAAAGTCCAGAAACATAGCCAATACACACGAGAATTTAGTATATAATAAAGGTGGCTTCTCTAATGAGGAAAGGATGGACTATTCCAAAAAATGGTGTTGGACAACTGGGTATCCATTTGGAAAAACAAAAGCAAAATTCAATTCATAGCACACATCATACATCTGGATAAATACCAATTATAGCAAAGATTTAAACGTAAACCATAAAACCATAATGGACATCCAGATATTATGTATCTCCTAATGAAAGAATATAATTCTACCCAAGAAGTAGTCCTCTCTCCAGCTGAACCTAATCTCATCCAGTCTTGATCCAACTACCAATTTTAGAGGAATTACTGCTCCTTGTATAATCAGCAAAATTCAGACTATGGAAAAATTTGGACAAACCTAAAGTGGTTTTTTCAACAAATAAATTGAAACGGGAAGAGGGAAAGGACGAGAGACATGAAGGGAGAATCTATTGTCTATAGATTAAAAGAGATTTAAAATCTGAAATAATTGAAAATTACAAACTTTATATGGATCCTGAGTCAAACAAAATCATGGTTTAAAAAAAAAAAAGACGTTTAGGAGACAATTAGAAATTTGAAGAGACTAGAAATTCAATGATAGTAACAAATTTATGTCATTTTTTGCTTAAGTATAACAATGGTAATGAGGTTAGGTTAAATAAAGAAAAGAATCCTTCCTTTTAGAGCTATAACTAAAATATTTACAGATGAGAAATGATGGGAAAACATGGGAGGTAAGGAAGTAGATAGGGTATGGATGAAGCAGAATTAGCCATGGGATGATGGTGATTCAAGGAAGCATGAAAACCACTGAAATATAAATATGCCTCACTACGGGAAGCTATTTGGTTTCTTAATTTAGATAGCAAGTTCAAATAGTGAGTTTACATATGAAATTTATGATAGTGAGGAATACCATGTTATTAAAATATACTTGGTTACAGAGTTTTGGAAGAACAAGTAGCAAGGGCTGGAGAATATGGAAACTTCCTTTATAAACATGGTAGTGGAAAAGGACTTTTAATTTAGATCAAAACTTAGAAGCCATAAAGCGGGGGAAAATCCAGTAAAATCAAGACAAACTAGGAAAAAATATTTTCAAATCATATAAACAAAGGGCAAATCTCCCTAATACATTAGAGTTCCTACAAATCTACAAGAAAAAAAACATTCTAGTAGAAAAATAGGCAGAGAATATGAACAGGTATTTCACACACACACACACACACACACACACACACACACACACACAAATTCTAGAGGCTCTTAAACATATACTGCTCATTTCATCCCTCAATGTAAATTAAAACTATAATGAGATACCATTTTCTACCTATCATGTTGGCACAAAGTTTCATAATTCTGTTGGCAAGGCTATAGGGCAAGAGGCACTCTAACACTGCTGATGTAAGAGTAAACTGGGGGACTTCCCTGGTGGTGCAGTGGTTAAGAATCCACCTGCCAATGCAGGGTTCAATCCCTGGTCCAGGAAGATCCCACATGCCTGTGCGGCTCAACTGTTGACCCTGCACTCTAGAGCCTGTGTGCCACAACTACTGAAGAGCCCGTGCTCCGCAACAAGAGAAGCCACTGCAAAGAGAAACCCATGCACCGCAACGAAGAGTAGCCCCCACTTGCCGCAACTAGAGAAAGCCTGTGCGCAGCAACGAAGACTCACGCAGCCAAAAATAAAAATAAAATAAAATTTTTTTAAAAAAGAGTAAATTGGCATGAAGAATTTGGCAACTACTACCAAAATTATAAATATCATACCCTTTGATCTAGCAATTTTTCTTCTGGAAAATTCACCCTACTAATATTCCTGGCACAAGTGTGAAATGACGTATGTACAAGGTTATTCAATGCAGCATTTTTATAGTAGTGAAAGACTGGAATCAACCCAAATGTCCTTCAATGTGGCACTGATTAAATAAATTATGTTACATCCATATAATGGAATCCTATGCAGTGCAAAAGAAAAGAAAAAAGAGAGAGAGAGAACCAAACGAGGAAACCATATGCTAATATGGAATCTCAAAAATAAGTGAAAAGAGCAACAGAGAACACTGGATATGGTTTATTAATATGGTTTATGTAGAAAAGGGGAGAGGAGTAACATTACATTCTAATTTGCTTGTATAGGAATAACACCACCTGAAAAGATACAGAAGAAATATAAGGGAGATATGAGACTTTTCCCTGTATACCATTTTATATATTTTAATTTTTGAAACGTGACTATATCACCTATTTTTAAAATACAAACGATTGAAGATTTTGATTATCGTACCTTCTTAATTCTAAATTCCAACTTCAAAAAATATTGCAATTAAATAAAACCCGAAACCTCCCCATACTTCTCTGCAAAAACAAATGTATCTTATATAACAGGAAACCAGTCTGAAAAATATCAAAGAGGATTTTAATCTGTAGATATGAAAACAAATGGCTTTTTAAAAAGCAAATTACCTTTAATTAGTTCAAATATGCCATAATAATTGAGTTGTATGAGCAGCCAAGAGTTTTACAGTAATTTACAAGTTGAAAACTACATTATTCCCAGGTTCCTTTTTCATTTCTGTCTAAAATGATTTTATGAACATAAATATTTTTATATTTATAGGATGGGGAAAAGATGTAATTTTCTACTTACATTTTCATTTTTCAAGATGAGTTTCAGTATTGCTTCTCTTTGTTTTAGAGCCTAAAAGCAGGATAATTTCCAGTTAGCATTTTTTAAAAAAAGGATCAACTAATTTTCCTCATATTTCTTCCTTTCCTTGTAAACTACCTGACAATACCTATAAGAAATGACAGAAACTCTGACAGGTCATGGAAACTTTTGACTAAAGCAAGGTCTAGATTCTAGACTCTAGATTAATCATTGTGGTTGTCTTACTGAACTGTATCTTCTTATTCTGAATCCCCAGTGTCTAGTACCATATCTGGAAAATAACATGCCCTTAAATGTTTCTTGAGTGAGTAAATGAATTCCTATGACTACCAATGTCTTTCCTCTACAGCTCTGCAAATCTCCTTTTCTTAATTTAGGAAACTTCTGAAAACTCACTGCTGCCATAAAATTTTTTATCAGTAACTGGAAGAGATGGCAATAATAACTGCTCGGTTCTTCCATTTAGCATGTAACTTCCATGTCCACTAATTTATATTAGTGAATTTTATTTAATGTTAATAGTATATTAGTTTATATGCTTGTATACTCCCCTCGCAGTGATGCTTCATATTACTAGAGAATAGAAGCTTTTATAGAATACCTTACATATACAGTAAATATGAATGCTTTTAAAGATTATTATGGCTGAACTCATCCCTATTCCCACAACCACTGAAAAAAACAGAGCCGGTTACAATGAGTACCAAATTAAATGACCTGAAAAACAAAATCAAACTGCTGTTTCTGTAATTCAAATGTGTTAAGTATGAAGGTTAATTTGGTATGTTAGGCAATCACCAGCAGGTACTTTTTGTTAATAAGCATTTAACTTGGAAAGGAGTTTTAAGGTAAGGTTAATCATACACTTTGTTTTTTTCTGTTTTTTTTTCAGTATGCGGGCCTCTCACTGTTGTGGCCTCTCCCGCTGCGGAGCACAGGCTCCGGACGCGCAGGCTCAGCAGCCATGGCTCACGGGCCCAGCCACTCCGCAGCATGTGGGATCTTCCCGGACAGGGGCATGAACCCGTATCCCCTGCATCGGCAGGCGGACTCTCAACCACTGCGCCTCCAGGGAAGCCCCATACACTTTGTTATCATAGTTAAACAGTAAGAAAAAAAATTATCCTATAAAGTGCATGTGTGTGTTCACTAAAAACAGAATGAAAAGGGGGATTATAAAAATCCCAGTTTCTACATTACAGGTACGCAAATTTATGACAAATTTGAAAAAATCTTTTACAACCTATTTTGAACTCATACAAAAATATATTAAACTTGCAACTTTAGTAAAGGCTACTTTCCATGCTGTTGTACCCTATGTTCTATTCTATTGTGCATCAAAACCCTTTGTTTGCTCTTAGACTATAAGCAGAGATTCTATCAATATAATCTTTACCTTCAGAATCACTGAGATGAACTGATTATCTCTAAAAATATTCTGATGTCTTCGTAACAAAATAAGATCAAATATCTTGTGTGAAGCATACAAAGTTTATCTAAACCTTCAGCAGTCAACCTTTCCAGCCTCATCCCCACCTACTTTCCTTGATGCCCCCTAAGTGAACTATCCCCAGAAGTCACCATTAAATATGTGCTTCCACACCTCTTTGCCTTTCTTCATTCTGGTAGAAAAGCATTTTTCTGCTTCACCTGACTGTCAAATTGCTACCATCTTTCATCCTTCAAGGTCCAGCTCGATTCTGTAGGTTTCACTAACTCCTCAGACAGAATTATGTTTTCATCATCATCTCAGGTCCTCACAGTTCTTTAAGCATACTTTTGTAAAGTACACTTTTTTTTTTTGGCCACGTGCCACGCAGGATATCTTAGTTCCCCAACCAGGGATCAAACCCACGCCCCCTGCAATGGAAGCACGGAGTCTTAATCACTGGACCGCCAGGGAAGTCCCCATTTTACATTATTTATTTTTGTGTCCAGCTCCCCTGCAATACAGAGTTCTTTTAGGACGGGGCCACGTTCTATTCACCAGAGCCTGGTAGGTGTCTGACACATATTAATGCTCAATAAATATTAGTCACACTAAGTACATTTTCTAGTCTCCTATATCACATTAAAAAATTTCTGCACCGAACCATCAGGTAGATTTTCTAACAGACTGCCCAAGTAAATGTATACCCTCAGAGGAATCAGAGGCTGTAGCTGCAGCAAAGAGCCAGCCAGAGTAACTGTGCAGAGGCCATAGCCACCAATTTCAGGAAACCATGTTTACTGCTACAAACTGTTAAGCTGAAGAATATAAAATGGGGAAAATATTTTTAGGCCAGAGATTTTAATTTTGAAAGAAGTGACAGTGTAAGTTCTTCTACATAGCAATATATGTGACATGCTGATTGTATGGTGCATATAGTCTATTACTAACCCTGTTTGTTTTTTTCTCCTTTAATCTAAAAGCAGACAAAATTCAGGATTTAGGGATTTTGTGCAAAAAAGTATCAAGTTTTAATCCTCTACTTGAGGGTACTTTTAACTAGCAAAAAAGAATGCTAGAAGAAGATACTTACTACTGGTTCAACAGCACCCTCACATTTGCATTCTTATGTTAAAGTGTAATATCATAGCTACTGGTTAATCATTAATCCTGCCACAGGAAAGCACTGCCAATAATTAATCAAATAAATACCAGGTGTTCTTCCTGTCAGGCCTTCAGAATAGTTCTTTAACCCTAAAACCCTAATTTCATCCTATCCTAAACCAAAACTATAATTAACATTTTCTTATGTATCTTCCATAGATAATTTTGCTGCATTCTAAAGAAAATCACTGAAGTGTCTAGACAAACTTGAGGCAATGAGATACTTTGAAGAGAAGCAAATAACATTGATCTTAGGAAAGAAAAATTTAAAAAGCAAGAAAAGGAATGGAAAGGACAAAAGTAATTAGGGGGATTCTTGCCCTATTCCTTCCCTGCCTGTCATAAATAATAAGTCTTATTTTTTAATCATTCCCTTTGTGAAATCACAGATAAAGACATGTAAAAAAGCAAATATTTAACTGTTCATAATATCAATCAAATCCACCTACAGGCTGGTTGATATGAAATCTCGTAGGCATTCTTCTCATTATAGCTGAGTCAAGATCCTGAGGACGATTAGTAGCTCCCATCACTATGACCTAAATATATAAAGAAAACAAAGGTATTAAATATACCAGTAATACTCCTTTCAGGTTGTTATTACTAGGGCTTAGAGGATATAGAAAATTAAGTGGGGTTTAAACTAAATCTTCTATAGGAAATCTGATTGTAATCCAGTATTACTCAAATATTTATAGATATAAATCAGAGTTAATCCTAAATACATCAAATGATAGCAAAGCTTGTAAGCCTGATGCATTTCGCCAGACTTCTAGTAACTAAAATAATACATTATTCAGTTACTGAGGAATCATAAAAATTTTAAAAAACCTATTGTATTTTGCAAAATATGGTTACTCAGTGGCTACATGTTGAATAACTTAAAGCTATTTATGTTACAGCTTGGGAGTATATATGAGGGGACTACTTCAAGTCCTTTAATAATATTAAGGAGAGAATCATTTCCCCTACCAGAATCTGAGGATTCTGGTAATAGTAATAGATATCATCTATTTTTTCCTCTGGATTTCATATCATCATTTCATGGCACTATCAGCTCTGCAGGTGACATCTTCTCAGTGCTAATAAAACCTCAAGCAATCCAATTTTAAACAAGGGCAACAGAATAAAAGCAAACATCAAAATGCTGGGTAGAATATTAAAAAAAAAAAAGAAAAAAAATTGCTGGCGGCCCCGCCAGCCTCTGGGTCTATGCCACTTATTCATAAAGAACGTAGAGACAAAAAATCAACACAAATAAAGACAAAGGTATACAAAACTATTTAATTTCTGAACGGCTTCAATATTACCACTATTGCTGATATTTCTATATAATTAAGCACACATCTGTTATCCAAAATGAAATTTATTGGTATTCTAAGGAAAACTTTTATTTCAGCCTAAGAGGTCTTAGATTTCTGAAATAATCTGAAATCTAACTCCAGGACAACATGTTGAAAAATACACTAACTCTTATATTCTACTTTTTTTTTTTTTTAGGCTATGCTGTGCAGCATGTGGGATCTTAGTTCCCAGACCAGGGATCAAACCCGTGCCCCCTGCATTGGGAGTGCAGCATCTTAACCACTGGACTGCCAGGGAAGTTCCTTATATTCTACTTCTACTCTTTACATTTAACATTACTCAACTGCCAAATTACTTTCAATTAACTGTGAGAGGTTGCCACCTAGAGGGAAAAAATATACATACAAATTTGAGAAATAGTTCCATAATATAATGCAATTTTGTATTTGGGTCAAGTGATCCTAAAGTCAAAATATTAATGCTCTTACCTGTTTTTCTCTACTGACTTTCTACAACTCTATAGAATTAATAAGGAAAATTTCTACCTAATGTAAAACAAAGTCTTTAAAAGTGATCAAATGAATTAATTGTATAAGATAAAGGATGAATATAGTATATTTTGAGATAGAGTATTCATTAGATATTAAAAGAGAGTTCAAAGTGATATGGAAGCTTGTTGAAGACTGGAGAATCACAAAAAGCACTGTGGTTGGGTCAGCACCTGAAAAAAACTGAAAAAGGGGCTGTACTTTGAGAAACATTCTAGGTAAACAGCCTGAAACAAAACAAAAACCCATTATGAAACATGAAACACTAAAACCTAGGATCAAGGAACCCAGATACATCTAGCACAACATGGCCTAATGAATTTATTTGGGGTGATAACAGATATTCACAATGAAAAAGCAAAGCAAGAGTGATTGACATCACTTAAAGAAGTAAATTTTAAGGAGTGATTTTAAGGGGCAAAAAAGATAACCTTTACACATATATTAACTCTATTTAGTGCAAATAAAGCTAAAATTAAAAATGGGAAGCAACAGTAATTTTTTAGTATTTATGCAGCAAAATTAATGTACCTTTTAGGTATTAGGTAAGACTTCTAAAAATCTTTAAAACAAAATATTAAGATAAAATTTTTACCATTTCACATTTAAAACAATCAAATCTAAATATATGCCTCAAAAGCTGAACTATGTCAATGAATACCCTAAAAATAATGTTAGCTTTTACGTCTCATATCTCTCAAGATGAAGAATATATCATTGACTAACTTGGATTTCCAGCAGTAGTGACAGGTTTAATTGGGCCATTCAACTATTTTTGTTTCCTCTGTTGCAAGGAAACAAGGAAAGTAAGCTGGGGTACTGTGGGCTCCATCCATAGTCACAGAATAGACAATTTTAGAGGAAAGCTAACTGGTTTCTATTAAAGAAGATGTCTAAAACTATTATTCAAATTAGTAACAGCCATTTTAACCCCCTTAACACACAAAAAAGTTAAAAGCAACATCTTTATTTTCTTTCTCAAAAGTCTGTCATAATAGAACAGTAAATACTATTAGTATAATAAAGAATAACGGTTTTAAAAATTCAGTTTTAATTTGCTGTATCAGAACCACACTGTGGGGCTCTGGATGAAGTGGCTCAGGAGTATATTTCATCCAAATTATTTTATAATATTATTATCATTATTTCCTTGGTTTTAAAACAATACTCTGATAAGATATAATAGTAACTATCAATATTTCTCTCTTACATGGGCTAACTATTCAATTCTCTGCATACTTTAAATTCTACTGCTTAGGAGGATAATTAGTTTTTGGAAACCTGCAAACTAAACTCATTGAATAGATTTCTCAGAACCAATGATTAATATAAATTGTTTCTAGTAATTCACCAGAATTTATCTATGTTGTGCCTTCTTCTCTAATCATTGAACAAACACTAAAGGCAATTTTCCCTCAAAATGAAATTATACTTTCATAACGGTGATGTAGGACATGGGGCTTAATTTTCTTCTTGAGAATCAGGTGTCTCAGCACTTTTGATTTATGGTAAGGTGGCAGACAACGGAGATCCTTAAACCCTCTGGCTACAAAACATGTAAAAATAATAAAATACTTTTAAAAACTCAAATTAATCAATAAATCTGCAAAAAAGTAAAGGAATTAAGCTGAATCCAGCAACAAAGCCTATACATGATGGAGATAAGCAAGGGTAGAAGTTGACCACATACCGTATGGACATGTACAGATTTTAAAAAGTGGTGTGCGTGATGAGAGACCAACTTACATAAAGCTGGGACTCATGAAGTACTATGGCCTGAGAAAAGTGGTGAAATATTAGAAAACCTATTTGGCAGAGTCAAGCCTTGGTTCTTGGAAAGATATATAAACACACACACTAAATCTCTGAGATTTCATGGTTCATGGCCAGGTAACATGGATCTTGAACCTGAATTTACCTGTCTTTGGAAAAGAACACGGCAGAGACAAGTACAAAATCCTCTTAGAACAGCAAACCGTCAATGTAGATTCCAAAAATTCACACACAAAGTTCTACCAAATATGATTTTTCCCATGAAATCACAAAACACACAAGGAAATAACCACCCTAAACTCAAATGATAGAACAAGATGTACAAATACTTCTATGCTAGAATTACTGAAGATGGACTATAAAATCAGTGTTAATACATTTAAAGGAATAAACAAGAAATAAAAAAAAATCACATAGCAAATACTTATGTAGCAAATATATACCAGATACTATTACAGGCACTTTACTCAGATTAAATCCTTAAAATCCTACAGCAGTTTTGAGGTGGATACAATTCTTCCCTTTTTATAGATATTACCCCCTCTATTCAGACACAGGGTGATTATATAATTTTGCCAAAGTTACAAAGCTAACTGATGCCAGGGGTCTGCTTTACTAATCCAACTGGCAAGAGACCATCAAAACTGATCTGTCAGACCTGAAAAAGAATTTCTAGAGCTGAAGAATATAATAACTGAACTAATAAGCTCAATGAAAATGCTACATAGCTGAAGGGATCCAAATGAAGCCAGAATTATCTAATTGGAAGAGGTAAAGAAATTACCCAGAATATAGCACAAAGAGATAGAAAATATGAAAGAGACATTAAAAAACATGGAATATAAATAAGGTATGTCCAAATGGCTTTTGATAAGATCACAAGGAAAATGGAAAAGAAAAAATATTTGAAGAAATAATCATTGAATTTTTTTTTTTTTTGGCTGCGCTTGGGTCTTCATTGAGGTGCGCAGGCTTCTCATTGCGTTGGCTTCTCTTGTTGCAGAGCACGGACTCTAGGTGCGCAGGCTCAGTAGTTGTGGTGCATGGACCTAGTTGCTCTGTGACACGTGGGATCTTTCTGGACCAGGGCTCAAACCTGTGTACCCTGCATTGGCAGGCAGATACTTAACCACTGCGTCACCAGGGAAGTCCCCCTAACTATGTTTTCTTAAAAGGGGCAAAAACAGATTACAAAATAGAAAATACCTACTGAAGTTAAAACAATGAAAGAACATTATTAACCTTCCCAAAACTTTTCCATGAGAAAAGTTTTTATATACATGAGATATAAATAGGTGATTCATGGAAGGTGGGGGGGGGGGACCCAGACAGAAAAATGGCTCTAGAAGTTCCATTTCCAGCAATATGGCAGAAAACCAAACATGCCAGAAAATTTTTTTAAATTTTCTTTTAAAATACATTATTGATCTGGCAAGAAAGTATGGAATATTCAGAGGTGAAGAACTAGGTGAAAATGGGAACTCAAAGATGTAAATTGAACAATATAGCTGGCTTTCTCTCTGGGGGAATACCAAGGGACCTTAATTTTGGTTTTCACAGCCTTTCAGCGGGAAGAGACAAAGCCTAGGACAGAAGACTGTCATGTATAAAATTGGAAAGATGCATGTGACAGGAAGTAGTTAAGTATATAAGTATCAGCAACTAATGAAAATGAAAGTATAAAATTAAGTTTAAATTTTAAAAATATATATGTGTAAATAAGTTTGACTACTCAAAGTACGGAGAGGCCTGTACCAATTGGAAGCATCCTTTTGCTACATTAGTCAGAAATTAGCAAGCAAGGGAAATGTATTTAACCGCCCTACTTCCCTGATGTGTGACAACGTACTGTCAAGTTGTGTGGCACTGACAAAACTAAAATACACAGTTGATTCTTTTTCTAGCTTCTTTTA